AATAATATTGAACTGGCTTTTTGATCCAGAAGAGCTTACTCTTGCCTCTTAAGAGTGTGACTGATTGCACAAATTCTTGTTTGACTAGCTTATATTTCATCCTGAATGAATCCACAAATATACCCAGTACTTAGAGATGTTTTGAGAGAGATTATGTCATTCACTCCATAGTCAACTTCTAATTCTCTCGCTTCATCCTTGAATGTCATCTCAGGCTAGCCATTTCTGGGTTTTTAATGATTATGTGAAGATTTCCTTTTTTTAGATCTCTGTATTTCTCACTGAATAGACACGCGCGTATACCTGCAGAGTAACTTTAATCTGAAACTAAGGTGAAATAAACTATGCCTGGGCTGACGCTGCATGGTAAATGTCTCAAGCAAACTTCACTAGGTCAAGGTACGCTCAGCTTTAAGAAAAAAAAAAAAAAAAAGGTAGGAATGTGTCTTAATATAAAGGAAAATCATTTCCTCAGGATTCTCATCTCTGGGTGTTCATGTGTTTTAATGCTTTGGAAAGCTTTAGTGTCCTAGGAGGTTAAAGTAATCCTTCGTGTAATTCAGAAGAGATAATTATATGATTTGGTGCTCTTAAGTAGAGTTTTCCTCTTACTGTCATCTGATCATGAGTCTCACTTCTCCAGTGACTTTCCACCTTGTATTGTGCCTCACCAGGTGCTCCGAAATCATCCAATGTGATCAGTTATTCTCTGAGAACCATTTTTATGTCAATATAAATTCCACGTAAATGTTGTGATTTTTCATGAAGCTCCTGACTACTAGCCTCGATGATAAAGAAGTTACAGTAGTAGCATAGAGGTCGTCTGTGTACCGTGCATACCTATTCCTTTGACTTTTAAGGTTAATGACAGAGTTCTTCAGAGCTTCTAAAATCAAGCATGTCCTACTCCTTGGGGCTCTTTTGTTTTGTATTTTCCTTGCTCGTGTTGGCTAGAGCGTTGAAGTGGTAGAACGTTAATTAAAAAACACTTTTTTAAGTGTTTAGAAGTTACAAATTAAACTTGGAAAACTTACCTTTCATATTTTAAATATAATATTATTGTTTATTCTTCAGACCGTTCCATTAGTAACTAGCAACTCATAGTATTGGGGGCTGATTTTGGCTTGTCTTCAGCTATGTAAACTCAAGAATTTTGAATCCTGCCCAGATGATACCTTATAAGGACATTGAATTGTTTTTGGTAATTTGAAATTATATATTAACTGTATCTGTTAGAGTATAACCGTGATGCAAAAATGAATACAAAATGTTGTATTTTTCTTCTACCAGCAGATGGTTACAGCAGTTCAGACTCCTATACTTCAGATCCAGAACAAGTTGGAAGCACTGTAACGCGACAACGGTCAGTAGAATAGCAACTGAATGAATAAATAAACTAAAGGTGTTTAAGCCTAGTCTCCCTATTCTGAATTTGTGGTTATTTGGCAACTAGCTTTTAAAGTGATGGCCAAAGAGACTATTGCTTTAACAATCAGAAGTCTGAAGGCCATCTATTTGCAAATGTATTAGAAACGTGTGCTGTTGCTGTTAATGTGTAAAGTGAGAATTCCAAAAATAATGTAATCTAAAGAGTTGTTTGGGCTTGGCCAATCAAATTAAACTCTCCGGTCAGAAATTGTGATAAAAACTTTTTACTTAAACACAGGGGAGTATAGTCACAGGTGATCATAATGTTGCTTGCAACTGATTTCTTCTTTTTTTTAAATAGTATATTAGGCACTAAGGAGAAGGACCTGCTAATTCTGTGTAGCATAAAAGATTTAAAAATGAATTAGAAATATCACGACAGTAAATCAGTCTCTGTTAATAGTGAGCTTGTGTAAAATGAAGGGCCGGTCATAGGCCCAGTATAAATTAAGGAATTGGAGGGAAGCTATGCAAGCACATAACCAAAAACGCATCTTATGACCTAAGAGAATGTGCTGTACCAGCTGGTGCTAATTGTCCCCATTAAATCTGTGCCTGAATAGGATTAAAAACCAGCTATGCCATTAACCATCTTACAATCAGTTTAAAAGGTAAGTTTCAAAACAAAAATAATCAGGGCGACCTCAATATCATAGACAGACCTTTCAGTACGGCATCTTGAAAACTTTCCTCCATTGTTACTTAGTGGCAAATCTAATTCTCTGTCCTGCTTCTATGTATGCTTTTGCCTTATCAAGATAATGATTTCTTGTTTGTTTTCCTTGTAGCACATACTCTTTTCATCTCTGATTTTTGGGTTGGGTTCCCTTGCTGGCTTGCGTAGATCAGCAGCTCCTTCTGATGAGTTGCACGTTTCTGGCACAGGTAGCTTCTGTCCAGATCTTGGAAATCTGGCGGTGTCTAGCCAGGAAACTTTTCTCCTACTTTCTCCTTTACTATCTTCCACTGATATCTCTTTTACCAGTTGCAACTTTAGTTGTAAGCATGGCATTCTCCTTAAGCCTACCATAAGTTCAGAGTATTATTTATATTTTAAAGAAGCTGAAACTGACAGAGCATTGTCAGATAATGATACTTCGGGAGTGTTCTTAAACCACTTTTTCCTTTTTATCCTAGTTGTGCCTTTTAAGAAACTATTAGCTCAGCAGATGACAACCATAGAAGTCATTGTAATTAGATCTGCAGTTCTTTAACTGGAGGGGTTGTGCAGTGTTACAGAAGCATCCTCCAGGAGAGCGTATTAAGAAAGCAGACACTTGTACTGGGATAACTCAGTTTTCTGTCTGGATTTATACATTTGGAAATTTCAGGTTCTGATGTGAAACTTTGGGTACCTCTTAACTCTCCTAGTTTAATCTCGTGACATTTATAGAATAATGTTAGTCAATCATGTAGAGAAGACTCACTTTTGTGTGAGTTGAATAAAAGTGTAGCTGTATTAATGTCAGAGGTCAGTGTTTCACTCACAATTTGACTGCTCTAGGAAGTTTCTGCAAGCTGCTTTTTAAACGAAAGCTGTATAAAAATATAGTAGGCAGTAAATCCCACTTAAATTGCACTTTTGTAGTGCAGTATTTCATCCTTCTGTCATGCTTTCTGAATCTGTGCTTGATGAACTTACAGGAGATGTCCACTAGATGGTGATCTTACCTAAAAATGAGTCAAAATTTCTGAAGATCCTACCAAGTACACAGATTTGGAAAATTTCAGGCGGGGTACTGGAATATGTAGAGCGTGAGAATAGAATTAGAATATAGAATATATTAGAGTATTAGAATGCCCATGCACGCACATGCGCGCGCACATATATATACCTCATACGCTGAAATACTCCTTACTTTGGTTTGATAGACCTGGAGGCAGATACAACAGGAACGTAATAATCTCTTTCAATGACATTGAATTTACCAGTTTAAAAGCTAATCAGGATGTTGACTACATCTTACATATTTTGCAAATCGTAGTGACTGCCATCTGGGTAGAATTACCATATCCAGGATTCTGCGTTCCTGAACTGTCATTGTTTGGGATGTCTGTTAGAAGCTATAGGTTTTCCCAAGATAAATTACTAGAAGCAAGATAAGAATAATTCCGAGAATGGACATTAAAGCAAATAGAAATATTAAAAACAACTGTGAAATCAGAGAATATCAGAAATTTAAAAGTGATTTTTCTCTCTTTAAAATCAAAAGCAATCATCAGGCTCTTTCTGCCTATCAAACTTATTTTTGATTGAATACTTTGAAGGAATTTTGAATTTTAATTCCATTGTTGCAGCTGCCTAAAATCAGTACAGAGGCTTATATATTTTGCAGATCACATTCAGGAACATCTCCAGACAATACTGCGCCACCTCCACCTCCTCCCAGGCCTCATCAATCTCATTCTCGATCATCGTCTTTAGATATGAACAGATCCTTTTCAGTTACGCCAGGTAGGTATATGGTGTTCCTTGTGTACTTTATTTTTCAGAACATCTATCTCTTGAAGCAGACAGTTTCTTTTTTTTCTGGTGAGGAAAGATTTAGAATGTATTTTTAAAACATTGCTTCTGAATGAAAAAGCTGAAAATGTCAAGTTGTCACTCCTACCATTTATATAAAAATTTGTATGCCACTTTGATTAAATAGGTATTTTAAAAGTAAGTGCTGAGTGCTGGCATTGTAGTCCTGTGGATGAGAATGGGAGGCGGAGTTGGGAAATATAATTTTGATAGTGCATCAACATGTCATGTATTGCACCTGTCAGTTACCTCCAAGAGGAGCTCTTTTGGTATCTGACCTATTAAGAAGATAGATATTAAATATTTCGCTTAAGAGGAAGTGATTAAAGGTCACTTTTGATGCTCTTTGTTAAGGTTTTTATTGCAGTTCTGAATGGTACTTCTCAGCTCAGGATCACAAAGTGCAAGGAAATGTTAACAATGTATAATGGAGTTAAAAGAAAAAGACTAAGATCAGAAAAGTATGCCCATGTTTATATTTCAAACCGGAGTGAAGGACAATACCCATATTCTGATTCCTCATTCCTTATTTTGTCTATTTGTAAATTTGAAAGGATATTACAATTCTAAATATGGCAGGTTTATATGTAGGTGTCATTGGCAGGATTTTTCATGTTGACGAGTTGGAAGATCAGATAGTGCTCTAATAAACAGAGTAACAATCTTAGCCAAATGTGATGCCTCTCTTACAGGACAGCAACAGGCGGGAGTTGTTGCCCATCCCCCTGCAGTGCCTCCAAGACCACAGCCTTCACAGGTGATGAAGTGACTTTTGAAGAATCATACTCTAACTTGGTGCATGAAACAGTAATATTTTTATCTTGCTCAAAATTGTAACTTCTCTCTAAAATGTGGAACACTGGCTGATATTTTTGGAAATCAGCTGAATGTCAATGTTGGTTATGTTCTGGGCTTTGCCGTATGTTAGCCTTTCCTGAAAAAGGAATTGCTTCTGGTGGAACCATGGAGAAGGCCTTAAGCTAGAGATTGAGGAGGAATCTGGCACTCTGTATTGTAAGAGAGGAAACTTAATTTCACGTTCCTTTCCCTGTTCCTGTATTGCTAGTAACACCAACTGTGAGAGAGATCTTTTGAAGTGCTGTGAAACTTGAGTACTTCTCTTTACATCCATATGTCTGGTACAGGGTATAGTTTCACATAAGGTGTCTGCTCCCAAAAAGAGTGATCCCGCTGCTTCCCATGTTATAGACTAAGTGATCTTGCAGTAGTAACCTGAATCAGTTCAATTAGCTGACCTGGTAGAAAACATATCCTGCAAAGTAGTTTTACCTTGTCTCAACCAGCTGAATCCTTCAACTGCTGTCCAGATCTGACATGGGACAGATAGAGTTGCTTTTCAGTTGTTTTTCAACAGCAGCTAAAACCTGAGTCATCCAGTACTTAATTTTCTGTGTCATATGTAGAAGACTAATAGTTTGATAAACACCAGAAATAAAGCCTGATTCTCATGGACTTCTTTTTTGCTTGAAGCTGTTTCTGTAGTGTAAATACTTCTCAGTGGTCTCCTGTGTGTTTTCTCTGATATGTAATAATGTTTGAGGTCATGGTACAGCAGGTCCCTCATTTGGAGCACTTGTAATATCTGTTCTCTACTTGGCTTTCTGTTTTTATGAAATTTAATAAAGTCAGCCAATGGATTCAGAAATCATCTGTGGGGAAGGAGGGTGCACTGACAGACACGTAGTGCCCGCCACACAGAATGATTACGTAAGCACGTTTCTCTATGAAACGGCTAAAAATCTGTTTCAAGCCTCGTATAGCCAAGCTGGGCTCTGCTACAGCAGAAATGTACCTGCCCTCTGATGATTCTAGGTAGTCCTACTATATATATCCATCTTCGGTCTCATCCACTGACATAATAGCTCATCTTACTGAACCTCCTTTTCTCTTAAATATTTCTCTGCTTTTATAACTGCAGAGAGTGGTTTGTCTTTTTTTTTTTTTTTTTTTTAGATGAGATGTGCTCTATTCTAGTAACAGGACATAAATTGTGAGGCTAAAAAGGCAATTTTCATTACTAGTTTTCTGTCACAAACCGCTGCTCAGGAAGTTTCTTTATCTCAAATTCACTACATCAAGCACTTTATTGCTAACTATTTTCATTGTTCTGTTGTAGGGTCCAGGTCCTCATGTGCATCGCTCAGTAGATGCTGAAGGCCTAATAGCTCATACCAGTACCTCACCTCAACAAATACCAGAACAGCCAAATTTTGCAGACTTCAGTCAGTTTGAAGCGTTTGCTGCATCAGGTGTAAACAAAGAGGAAGAAGATGAAATTGAAACGCACTCAGAAGTCTTGCAGGTGAGCAGAAATGAAGATATTGTCAATTACTTAATGCCATCCACGAGACTTTCATTGTTAAAACCCACATAAGCTGTTTGAACTAGTGGTTCCTTTTTAGTGGTCTAATCTATTTCTAGAAAACAATTCTATTACATATTGCTGTGCTTCTTTAGTAAAGACACCTAGGCTAGGCAGCAGAATTTTTTTTGCTCTCAGTTGTTGATCTTAATTCAAAATATTTTGTATTTATTAGCATGTGTATGTGAACAAATATATTTGTATTGCTGCATTTAAAACTCTGAAGGAGAGATTTCTCTTCTGGTTGTTTCTGCCAGTCTTCCAGATGACTTGCAGATGAGTTCTAAAGTAGTGTGTCCTTCTAAATGAGATGATGTCAAGTATCTTAAACAGCTGATAAAATCCAGTTATTTGGTTTAGTTCAAAGCCATTGAACAAACAGCTGAAGTGAATATAGCTTCAAAATCCTCCTGTAATAGATTTTTTTTTAGATACTTACAAAGCCTAGCTTCCTACTATATGACACAGGACTCGGAATTTGGAAACCTGAAGTTTCGTTCCCATTTGTTACTGCCCTACTGCAACTACGTGAATTATTCGTTTTCCTTCTCATAATTTGCACCCTCCATACAGACTGCAAAGAATTTACTTTAGGGCATTTCAGCATCCTCAGTTACAAAAGTATCCATGATGCTTCAAAATTCTCCTGCCTGTCAGCAGGATATTATTGCTTCTCTCAGCTAGGAAAATCAGCGAGATAGACGGCTTGAGCACTCTTTATGACAAAATCAGCTATGTCAGTTTAAGCTGCTGCTGAAAGCTGCTTAAGCTAAACCTACTGATTATTTTGCACTGAGGTATATGGGGAACAGTCACGTTATCTGTTCCACTGGAGGAACTGAGCTTTGGCAGTAACAAATAGCTAGATGGTGGTGATAAAGTTATTGCAGAAACAGCTGTAGTGTCTTATCATCAGTTCACAGCCTCTCTTGTACGTGCCTTGTAACAGTGGGAATCGGACTTTGTTCAAGAGGTCTTCCAGTGTTCTAAACATCCAGACTACAGTGTTTGAGAGTAGAGCACTTTCAAGTAACTGTTTAGCAGGCTTTTCATAGAGAATTTAGATTCTATATCAGGATCTTAATTTCTGTTACAAAAGGCAGGTTAGGCTATTGATTCTGGAAGTGCAGCATTTTCTTTTGTGCCTTTTCTATAACCTGCTCCCAGATCAGAGCAGTGTTTGTGACCAAGATGGTTTTGGTTGGGTTTTGCTCTAAAGCAGATGATGTTGTTATATTCCAGCATATGCTTCTAAAGAAGAATTGAACTAGGATTTAGAATGTTAACTCTATTCTGACATCAGAAACACAACATAATTTTATTTGCTGAATCTAAGTGTTTGTTAAGCTATAGTTTTCTAAATATAATTTTGAATCCTTTTAGGTTGAAAAGCCCTCTGATTCTGCAAGTTCTCTTAGAGTTGCCAAAGCAGATGGAAGAGTTGAGGACAAAGCACCTGCTAATGTCCCCACTAGTGCGGTATGCCAATTACACTTGGAAACAGAGTGCAGTTGTCCAATATATATGAAAATATATGGTTGTTTTGACTAATACACCAGCTTCATACACTTCCATTTGAATCCAGTTTTCTTACTCAGACGTCTCAAAATAGGCCTACATGTGGTGAATTTTTACATCGTAACATATTCACAGTTCGTTTTATTTTCAGGATGAACAACAGAGCCTTATGATACTTCTAAGTATTCAAGTTTTTAGAAGCAGTTCAAAACTGTTTCAGTGCAAAACTTGGTAACAGTAACTTTATGGTATGGGCATGTAGATACCGGAGGAGGGAAGAAACATAATCAGGATGTTATTGTGTATTTGCAGTTATGTCAGTTGTACCGCTGGGTTTTTTCTTGCACATCAAGCATGGTAGCGTGTAGCAACTTACTGCCGTTTCACTAGGGGAGGAGTAAGTACTTAGTTCCAGACAGTGTGAGGATGCAGCTAGGCATCTATCAAAAAATATCCGATGGGGTTATAAATTCACAGTTGGCCAAGTAACTGGTTCTAAGAGTATGTGACACAAATTACGAGGATATGATCTAAGTAGAAATGCGCTATGTCTGTGAGAATTAATAGGCTGTGTTTTCCCTCTCAGGGTAAAGGTACTACCCCACTTGCTCCACCACCAAAGCCTATTCGCAGAAGATTAAAGTCAGAAGATGAGCTAAGACCTGAAGCTGAGGAGCATACACAGAAAACAGGTGTCATAGCTGCTGTTCTTGCTTCACAGCCATCTATTCCTAGGTAACCCAAGAAGTGTATAAATACATCTGTTATTGGAAATTATATTTTGGCAGCAGACACACTTTCTGTTCTAGGGAAGAGTTGCGAGCAATTTCAGTATGTTTGAATTAGTCACTTAATGGTTTAAAGTGTTTTTGTTTTGAATGAAATCGTCCTGAAGTCCCTACTGTTGAAAGACCTTGTAACGAGCTTGATTTTTGGAGTGTGGACTCTTAACTTCTGCAAGCATGTTGGAAAGAAGTGATGAAAGTATTAGGATGTAGTATTTAATTTTAGATAATGGTCATTATTAACAGTCCAAAATTTAAGCCTGCAGTATTTGTGTCCTAGCATGAGAGTAGACTATTACGTTAGTCAGTCAGAGATAAATGAATGTGATATTGTACGTTGGGACTTCAGGAGGTTTATTATGACAGTTTAAAAAACATGTTTTTCACTATTTCATTGAAATGAACTCTATATGGCTTTTGTGCAAACAGTGTTCATCCTGTCAGGCAAAAGAAGGAATAATGAATCTAAAATAGTGTAATAAGTTAAATTTTGAAAGGGGATTCTGCTCATTTGAAAAAGAGGGACTGTAAATGAGATAATTTAGTTAAGCAACAAAATGAATACCTGTAATATGTTCCCAGATCAGTGGGGAAGGACAAGAAGGCAATTCAAGCATCGATTAGACGTAACAAGGAAACGAACACTGTTTTGGCCAGATTGAATAGCGAGCTACAGCAGCAATTAAAGGTAATACCATAATCTTTGTCTGTTTTAAAACAAGATCTGGAGAGGGCAAGGTGTTAGTGATGCATGGTAGCTGGTATCTGTGCATGCAATTGATACGCAGCAGAGGGTATCAATTTAAAATATTTAGTTTTTATAGAACATAAAAGATACCTAATTGTGACAACCTTTGAGAAACAGTTACATTACGAAGGATACATTTACTGCTATAAAATATGCTTTTCGATGTTTTGATTTGCTCTCAGCTACATTAAAAATGAGCAAAAAAAAGTTGAAATTCTAAACTAGTAGTATTAACCCAGGTAGCTGTTGTGGTCATCAAATATTCTAGAAGCAGGGTGTTGAGAAGAGCAGTCAAGGTGGCTTAAAAAGTAGTAATAAAACTATAAATATTTTTTAACAAATATACATAATAAAATGATGTAGAATGCCAAACTCACAGCTCAGCAAACAGAACAACAGTTATCAGTTTAACTGGGATAAGCTACTGTGCTTTTGGATTTGTTTGACGGCACCTACAATCTGACTTACTTTTATAATGTCTTTAATTTTAATGGTCAAGTTAATAAATTTAAAAGTGAACCAGTGTGCTATCTAGCCTGACGATAGGCCATTTTAAAAACTGTCGTTACCTGAATTTCACTTGTTAGTAGTTGTTAAAAGCATAAAGGTGCATAAAATTCATATGCGAGGAAAAAGTAGGGGAAAAAATTGGCAGTTGCTAATCTTTTAGCTAACAGGAGGAGCCCTCTTAACTCATCAGACTTCATTTGAAAATATTACAGCTAGTAAATATTTGCAGCTGGTTACAAATGTGTAGTTGTGGGTAATTTGAAAGGAATGAAGAAATACTAGATGACTTGAATTTTGGGCAAAGTACTGATTTTCATTTGTAAATACTCAGTAGCCAATCTTCTGTTCAGATTATGGGAAAAATTCTCCAGATTTTAGAAAGGACTTGGAGTTCTCAAAACTGAAGCTGACATCTACCAGTTTTCATCACATGAGGAAATTTTTAATATTCTTTCTCTGTGGACAGTGAGTAGAAAATCTTTCTTTTGTAGGATGTTCTTGAAGAGAGAATCTCCCTGGAAGTCCAACTGGAACAACTTCGACCCTTCTCTCACCTTTAAGCCTACTGCCGTTAACTGTGAATTTACTAATTTTGAAAGGGGTATTGGTTTCAAAGCCTATTTAAAGATCCATGCGTTTAGCTCAGTGCACTCTATTCTACATTAAATGTTGTGATTCTGTTTTGTCAATTTGTCCACTTTTGTATTTAAGTATTTTAATTTCAGTACAGGAAAAAAAAACTTTTCCTTGAATGTGACACTGCCTCTCACATCATTTTCTGTGGGCATCAGTGATCTTTGTTGGACTTGAGTTTGCAGAGTTCATCGCCAAAATTTCCAACTGGAATCTCTTAGTGAGCTTCCCCCCCCCCACTGAAACATCTTTACAGAAGAGGATTGCTAGTCAGTTGACCTTAATCACTCTTCTTTCACTATGGCATTTATTTTTTTGTGCAAGAAAGGAGAAAAACAAATTGGCTGTCCTCAGCCAGAATTGTCTCCCAGGCGGCCTTTCACAATTTGAAAACTGTTCACAGTTTCAGAAAGCCTGCCTCTTTGCAATAGACCAACTTACTCAGGCTGACAGAGTTCTGCTGTTCAGCTGTTAACCGTTTCAGCCAGATTTGATTTTGTGTTCTTGTTACATACATTGTAGAGTATGTGACCACAGATTGCCAGGTGTTCACATTTTATCCACTCATGATCCTGATTCAGTCGCATGCATATGAGAAGTTATGGTACAATTGATAGTCTATCAAACAAACCTTTTCCAGTCATCCCTTTTGTGAAAAGAGTTGGGTATAAATTCCAAACATATTGATTGCACATTTCTTGAGCACCACCTATAACTGCATGTTTCACACATTACCTTTTAATAACAGATCACGTCCACCAGTCTCCACTATAACTAATTGTATTGTCAAGTAATGTGTCAATACCTCTATGAACTTCTAATTCCCGGCAAAAATAAATAAATAATGAACAGTTTGCTTCTTAGGAATTCTGGGGTACCTTCTGTCATCTTGTTTTCAGGCCTTATTTCTCTGGCATATAGACAGACTTCACTATTAACAGTTCCCTGAGTGTATCCTGCTATTCAGGTTGATGTACTGTATTAGGATTTGTTGTATATTGTATGATACACACCTTTTGATCTCATATGTAAATTTGCATTAATTGCTGACTAACAGCAGATATTCTATTTAATGGCTTCTTCTGGCTGTGGGATCATAGATGTTTAACTGCATGGATGTATCTCTGCAGAATCAGAACTAGCAATTGTGTGATTTTTACACCAATAAAACAGCACAATATTTTAATTTTGTTGATTCATCTTTACCTGGGAATTGAAACTTATTCAGAAGCAGGGAGGCATTTATTACAGGTCTGCAGGGATTTTTTTTTTTTTTTGTAGCTTTATGGCATGTACAACAAGCAGTCAATCATAATCCGTTTTTTTTGGCTCGTTTTTTCAGCTATTGGTCAGAAATGCGGTCAAATTCTCTTGGTAATCTGTGGCTCTACTCCTTTTGTATACTCCTATAAGTAAACTAAATTAATAAATATGGTTATAATTTATAAAAAGTAAATGCTAGGATTGACTTGGGTCAAAAAAAGTATAGTTCCTTAATCTACATTTCTGGTAGATTTCCTTGAGAGCGCTATTCAAAATTCAAGCTAAATGGATCGCCTGTTAGCAGTCCTCATCCTCACTGTCTCATTTTTATGCTTAAATTAAATTCTCTTACCATCTGCTTTTACTCTGTGAAGGGATAGCTCAACTCAGATTTCTTCTGATGAATATGCCATTTGTTATGGGAAAAGGAAGTATTTCCTTTTTTGGTTATTGTATACAGACCAGGTAATTATGATTGGGTTGGGGGGGAGGGTTTTGGTTTTTTGTTTTCTTACTATAGCTATTCCAATTTTTTTTTTTTTAATGTCATGGAAGTGTTGCAGTTTGCTAATGTATATATCCAAAGCAAGATTCCTTGGTATGGAAGACATGAATGTCATAGCTGCGTGAAGAGAAGATATTTTCTATTTGCGTGTCAATAGATTAAGAAATGATGGCTAAATAGGTACAAATGTTACATAGAAATTACACTTCAGCTGTGTCTTGTCAATTAGTAGATTAAGTGCAAGGCTTTGATTTCAGTAAGATCGGATATAAACAAGGAAGTGTGCCAAAAAAAAAACTTAAAAAAAGACTTAAAGTTAAGGGCCTGGTCACTTCTGTTATAACTCTTGAGTAGAAAGAGCAATGCTTAAAAAAAGTTGAACACGGAAAGTGGATCACTTCCTACAGTCAGAAAATGCTGTTTTCAGACCAACTGTATCATGTCCATGTAGCTTATTTTAACTTTAAAATGGTTTTAAGTAGAACTATTTTCATATTAATATTTACGTATTAAGCCTGTGTTTATAGCAGCAGGATTCTTAAATCAGAATTTAACATTTAAATCTTAAATGTAAAAACCTTTTACATCCAAACTTGACATGCACATACGGGTTTCTCTTACATCCTTATCTTTGCTGTAGAATGACAAGTTACGTACATAGTGTCTAAAATGAAGAACTTTAGCAATTTGAATATTTTTGTGTCTTGCCAGCACATCTATTTTTAAGAATTTTTGTGCTTTATTTTTAATGCTCATTCACTAGATTTTAAACCAGTCTTTTCACGGTCAGCAGAGCTTTTAACTGAAAAATTGCTTATGTCTTAACGTAACTGCCAGCGATGTTCAGAAGTTACCACATTTGGTAATGTAACCCAACTTTAATCCATTACAAAAATTTTTCCCCATCTTCTCCATTTGTTTGATCATGATCCAGCTACGTATGTTTTGTTACAAACTGAGATTGTGAACTCTTTGGGGCAAGGAACTATGTACAGTAGAAAAGATATGCTTTTATACTGCGAGTGTAAAATACAGATTGTTAAATAGGTTGGACTGCAATTCAGATACCCAGTTAGGCTGAGGAACAGTGGGATGTATTTCTTAAATACCTGTTCAGTATCTGTTCAGTAGTTTGATTTGCCTTTCCGTTGTTTCTCCTACTGATTTGCCTCTTTCTTTGCTTCAACTACTTGGACTATTGCTTTTTCTCTCCATTTATTGTCCACCTTGAGATAGCAGAGAAGATTTGCAAAATACAGAGGTGAAAAGCTGACAAGTAGTTTTGTGTTTTTTTTTTTTTTTTTTTAAACAATGTTTTAAGTTTCCAGGGTAGGTTAAATATGCTCAATATTTTTGTACTTCAGGTGCCCCTCATTTTAGTTGCAAAGAATCTTATGTACTACACAAATTAGAGGAGTTCTTATCACTGAAATGGCCTTACATGGGATAAACAGAGTTGAGGTTATAAAAACTTAAAACTAAAGAAAATAAATTTTCAGCGTTGTGTGAGATGTCTCTGTCCCTTATGGATGGGGTGGGCTGTGTGTATTTCCCCCATTCAGAACTAGGGCAAGTCGAGTTGCTCTCTTTGGCTCAGGCACGCACAGAGTTTGTCTCTAAACGCAGCTGACCTTATCTGAAATACTTTTTTCTGAAAGTGTCAGTGCTCTCTTGACCCATCCTAGTCTTAGTTTCTAGTTGAACGTGAAACTGATTAGTTTCATGAAATGGCAATATGTTGCAAAAAACATGATTTAAGCTCCCTAGTGAATAATAAAGATGCAGTTCTTACTCTATGGTGAAAGTAAGCATGCTCTTGTACATTTTAAACCTATCTGTGTGCTTAAGTTGTTGAAATAATAAATAATGTGGTCCATACGCAGTTGGAATTTTAGAGCATTCAGCTGAAAACTCATTTTTTTAGAGCCATGCAACTTAATTTGATAAGCAAAATTCCAGCATGTTTTACTATAAATATTGATGATAATACAGCCCTTCAGAAGGAATTGCATGAAAACCTAGGACTTTGTTCCAAAGTAAAAAAAAAAAAAAAAAAAAAAAAAAAACCTGTTTTTTCTTAATAGTGTTTGAAATGAAAACAAGTAACTACAGCTGTTGTATAGGAAAAAACATTTAAAATGCCTGTGTATATATATTTTGTGTGTGTGTGTGTATGTATCTATTTCCCTACTTACATATAACCAAATCAGAGTGTAAAGTGTTATTCTCGTAAGTAGTACCCAAGGTAAAGGTAGACCTTTCTTGGGGGGATTCTTTGAATTATCTGCCTTTCAAAGTTTGGTGGGAGGGTCTAATGATATTTTCTTTCAGTTATATTTCTTTAAGGAATTTGGCAAAATGGCATTGAAAGGTACGATTCCTGTTTTAAGATATTTTAGTATATTCCAAACTGGTTTGACAATAGGCCTTTTCCCCAATTTGAATACCTACACCATCAGTAATGTCTTGCATTTCAGTTATTGTTAGAAACAGTCCTTATTTCATTATAATACTGAACTTAAAAAATCAGAGTTAATAACTGTATAAAATACTGGATCTATGTTCTCACATACAACATTATATCCACAGTTTGGGAAAGAATATTAGTACTCTTTGTCACTGTGGTTGGCAGCAAACGGTAGCACAGAAAGCTGTATAAATTTTCTCCCATCTCTGGGAGAACATGTTCTCTGCATTTTGGCTCATATGGGTATTAAGAATGCTGCAAGAATTATTGTGTTAAACAGTAAAATGGTTCTGGCATTTTAACTAGTCTTGATTATAAGTGATCCAGGAAATGAGCAGAACTTCAGATATAGTGAAAGCACATTTAAACTGACTTTCAGTGGTATATTTATGAAAAAAATTTTAGAAATACTGCTATTGAACCTTATATGACTGGAGTATTTGTTTCCTTGTCTACTCAGGAGTTCACAGAAAATACAGCCAACGGTGCAGCATACCTAAATTCTCTTTGATCTGTCCCATGCAGCAGCAATGCTATCTTCTTTTGCTATAATGACTTTTTTCTGTCATCTGACTTCAGATAGCTTACCGCATTTCTTTAGCTCAAATGAGACTACAGTTAAGCAGCAGAAGATATCGCCCATGGAATGGAACAAATTAAACATATATGTCACTGTCGGTAACTGCATTTTTAATCTAGAATGTTTTCTTATGAGGAGCCTGCTGTCTTTCGCATCTATTCAAAAGGCAAATAAGACAAGACAGCCATTTGAAATAACAGTTGCATGTTGCATTCGAGAAAGGAGACACTAAGATCAATGATGTGCCCTAACATGGAGTTGGGAGAGAAGGTGGAATGTGCATTACAACTGCTGTAAATTGTAGAATATGTGAACATTTGTTAGGGACTTCTGAAGGTCTAGCATACATATTTTTGGATTATCTGTGATTAACGGTTGGTGAAGATTTTAATAGTTAGTGTACCTGATCCAAAGGCTAACTTCAGGTTTGTGTGCTAACCTGTTTCTGACTTAGCAAAAAGGTATATATGACAGGTAGCTTTAGCAATATACGATTTCTCAGAAAAAACTTGCAGGAGATATTTTTGGAACCTTTATAGTATCCTAAAAGTATACTTCATTAAAATGTCATGGAATTCAGCACTTTGTACAAAGTTCGTGCTTTATCTTGCAGATCTATCTTCTTGAACTGGTGGTATATAGTATGCATTCAGTCTAAGTATGAAAATACATGATAGTTCTTCCCATGTATTTCAGGAAAAAGATTATAGAAGAAATGTATAGGAAATGGTAATTTAATGTGTATGTATTATCAGCAAATGCAGAAATGAAGTGCCTCCAACTTTAACTTTGCCTTTCTTATTACGTATCTTTCAATGGCCTTTGGAAGAGCAGAGTGCTGCAGTTTACAACCGACCCTCCTCCTGGAGCTTCAGCCTTTTTTATGCCTTCCACTGTCCTCATGAATGAATTCAGTGACCTGCTCGCTGATCTGAAGGAAACAAGAGGTCCCTTTGCTGTAGAGGGGTACTTATAAGGAATATATTCTTTTTCTCGCTTTATACTTTGTCTTTTGGATCAAGTGGGTGTTGAAGCAAGAATATTCCCATGTAAAAGTAGTATTGCAAATTTAAACATTGTGATTTTATCAGAATTAAGAAGTTTATCATTTTGATGAATTTTAGTTTCCTCCAGGTCTCTTCTATAGATGGACTCTCTAAACAAGAAACTCGCTAAACTTGATAATCTTTTAGAACTTACCATGTTCAAAGGAATCAAATACTACTTTGTGAATGGCTTTTTAAATACTTTTCTCCTGTCGTCTTTTCAAACAATGTAATCCATTGATGATGTTTTAAACTTTCCTTTTGCAAATAGATATGCTTATAGAATAGCAAGAAAATCTTTTTTTCACAGTGAAAAAATGTTTAT